AATGGTGGTCAAAGTGCTGGTGATTGTGGTGTTGCTGCTGATGATGGCTGTCGTGATGTGAGTGATAGTTGAAGTGTTGGTCGAAGTCCTTGAAGAAGTCATTGAAGTTGAAGTGTTGTCCGCCGCCAGAGCGAAGACTGTCGTCGTCGTCACCCAACTGGTCATAGCGCCGACGTTTGTCCGCATCAGACAACACCTCATAGGCTCTGGCGATCTCCTGGAACTTCTCCTCAGCATCTTTGGCCTTATTCTTGTCCGGATGATACTTCACCGCCAACTTCCGGAACGCCTTCTTGATGTCCTTCACGGAGGCGTCCCTCCCGACGCCCAACAGTTCGTAGTAGTCTTTGGCGGACATCACGCCATCGATCTGCGAGCTGATCCACACCATTATCACCAGTGAGTACAGCGATAGGTTCGCCGCGTTTACGTACATGTCTTGAGAGTTGGGATCAGTTTATGGCAAACGCGAAGACAATTGAAACACGGATTCAATGCACTGTTGGTATTGAATGACTGATCCGTATATCATGTGTTAATTCAATACAATTATAATCAGCAGTCGTTTGCATATAAAACATATTTACGACACGATTCACACTCTCATTGGCTGTCAGTTTAGATAGCGTTTCGTTCACTAATTATGTGTTGCATTCATTGCGCTCAATGTGTCCCTCATTTGCATTTCGCGCTAAACTCTATGCAAAGCACTACTTATCCCCGAAATCTCACGTAACCGTTATTTGTGTTCACTATTCGACGTAAGCTTTAAATTTCATTCAAAGGGTTAAAGTGCGGTGTTTTCGAGACGTTTCGCGCGAAATATCCCCAAATGTCTGCTTTCACCCCAAATATAACGGATCACTCGCTTTATCCCCAAACGTTGCAAAACAGGGTTTGCATTGAAATGAATGCGTGTTTGGGGTTATTGTGGACACAAACACAGTGTGACGTCAATGAGTGCACGCATTGCGCACTCAATGAGAGTTTGTTTTGATTTGCGGTTCAAAACACTCAACGTTCAGATGATTTGATTCACCACTCAATCCATGCCTGAGACCATCAGCTCATCCAATGGCTGAAGACATGATTCTTCCACTTCTCGGCTACAATGGCGACGACGACGAAGAGGACGACACGACAGACAGCGACGGTTTGTGTGCACTCTTGAGCCCATGAATGCATGTCTTCGCTGCCATTGAACTGATTGTCTGATTGTGTGATCCAATGGTTCCGCAGAAGGCATTGACAACGATATCAGCGACGACTCGGAGGAGCACTCGAGCGGCAGTCGTGACCAACGCGTCCAATACGACACAACCCTTCCGTCGCAACACAACTATTTGGGGGACAATCTGAACGAACTGTCCGGACGGGTAGTGTTGGACGAGACGTCGACTGTAAGCCTACCGCTGCTCACCATCGATAAGGTGGTGTTAGTGCCCTCACAGGTACTGCCCCTACAGCTACACCACCCGACCATCGTGTCGATGATGAGGCGCCTCATTGACGGCCAGAGGACTGTCGGTGTCGTCGCCTCATTCGAGCCAACGCTCGGCACCACCGCTGAGATCAGGAGCTATTCCGGCGATGACGACGACGTCGAGGGTTTGCCGGTGTTTAGGGTGAAAGCGGAGGGCAGACAGAGGTTTAGAGTGATGGAGACGTGGCGTCAGGACGGCGTCGTTATGGGAAAGGTATGTCTCGGAAGCCATTCCAGCGATTGTCTCCTAATGTTTGGATTAAATGATTGTATTTTAGGTGAAAATTCTGCCGGAATATGAGTTAACGAATCCATTGCGAGAGCGGACGCATACGATGGACAGGCGCTCAATAGCCATGTGCTCACGTTGGCCGCAATGGGTGTACGGCATGTATGACCCTAACCTATTGATGGATAAAATCAAACTCTATCTGAAGAACTGGTCGTTCAATGACTACACGAGTCCAGCGCCCCTAAAGCCGTGTGAGTTCTCGTATTGGGTCGCCTCTAACCTACCCATGGATGACAGCCAGAGGTGTCAACTGTTGACGATTAACAGTTCCATACAAAGACTTCGCTTCGAGTTAAGTCTATTACAGAAGTACTCGTATTTGTGTTGCTCTGAATGCAAGGCTAAGATCTGCGAGAAGGAGGACGTGATAGTGATGTCAGTGAATGGCCCGCAGGGCACGTATGTTAACCCTCACGGGGCTGTCCACGAGATGACCACAGTCTCCAAGACGACAAACATTGTGCTCATCGGCCGCACGTCCACCGACTTCTCGTGGTTTCCCGGGTATGACTCGCTTTATACACATTTTAAGGTACCAGTAGTGATAACTAATGAACATACTGTGCGCTCAGGTATGCGTGGACTATATGCCAGTGCAAGCGATGCAAAAGCCATATGGGATGGAAGTTCAGTTCAGTGGACAAGAAGTTGAGGCCCGAGTGGTTTTGGGGTCTCTGCCGGTCATCGCTAGAGCCCGGACTCAAAATAGATGACGAAATCTCATGGAAGCCCGTCCTATAAGTCATGTTTAAGCAGTTATTTTCATGAGTAATACTGATTTGTATTTATTTTTGGCTACAAAATTGGAGTTATATTTTCGATTAACGCTTGGAATATACATAAAATTTTAGTCATAAATATATTAATAATAATAATAATTAAGAATAATAATTGAATTGAATTCAAGACATGAGTATAAATATGTCAACAGAATAGATGAGATAACGGAACAAATGGTTGGATCCGATGATCAAATGAAGAGTCCGTCTTCGTCTAGACACTGTCTGTAGTGGTTTTGTATTGCTTGAAACCTATGTATCAATTATTACAGTATTTTAGCCATTAATGTAAAACACTATATCTGTGATCATGTATACCATACCTCTCAAAACGGCGCCAACATTTAGGACAGGTATAGAATTTCTGGCCCTGAAATCAACACCAAATACAATGTCATTCATTTGCAATTCAATGTGAAGTGAATGTAAAAAAGTTTTCATTCATTTATATCTAACGTATGTCACAATCTAATGATTGCTATGTTTTGTAAATTATGTGTAATTAAAGCTAAAAATTAATTTAAATGATTTATAAAGTTAGTAAAGTTATGTCCAAAGGGGACAGTTGTGAGTCAGTCCACCACCGGTAGTGTGTATTATCCCCAAAAAATAATAGCCATAAATGCAAAACGACTATTATTTTAAGACCAAACGCATTGAGCATTTGGTTGACAACTCACAGCCTTCCCGAATGTCTACTCCGTCTGCGGCCCTTCCCTACCGTCAACTCCTCCTTCAGCTCTACAGTCGGCGCTCCCTTTTCGAGCCTCTCTTCCGCGTCACTCAACTTCTTCTTCAGCTCCTCGACAGTGGCCTCGAGTTCTGTCACTTCCTTAAGTGCCGCCAATTTAGACATCTCTTCGAGTTTGAAGTCGCGCTCGAAGACCAGTAGCTGTGACTTCATGGCCGACATTGTCTCGAGTTTGGCGGCGCTGTCGCTCAGCTTAGCCTTCAGTGCGTTGATCTCGTCAGCCATGGCGTCCACTTTCATCTGCGACTCAACCAAATGCGAACTCAACTCCTGGCTCTTCAGCTCCGATGTCACGTCCAGCTTCTCATACGAAGCCATTTGCTCGCATCGGGACCGAAGTGTCGCCACTTCTGTGGAGAGCTCTTCGACGAGCTTCAAACCGGCCATACCTTCCAAATCAGACACTCTATCGTTGAGTCTGTGGTTCTCATCCACGAGACGGCCGTTCTCTTCGACCAATTGCTTCGACTGTTGAGCCACTCGTTTGTGGTCTTCGATGATCTCACTGTTCTTGGACTGCCATTCGTGCAGATTCTTGAGCTGTTGTTTCATAAACTCGTTGTTCTTCTCGAGCTCTGTCTTCAGTTTCTCGTTTTCATCCCTCAGTTCCTTCAGATAGAGCTCCAGATTGTTGGCCAATATATTGTCCATTCGCGCGGAACAGCTCTTCACGTTGTCCTCAATGCGCGACAAGTTATCTGTCATTGACTTCAGAGAAGCGGCCCTTTCGTCGGCGAAACTGTTGGACATCCTGTGGGCCATCAGTTCCTGCTCTTGGATTAGTTGATAACTCGGCAGTGAGTTTGCGATCGACTCCATACGTCTTGTGTCCAACTCTGTGTCCAACGGACGATAATCGTCGGAATCGTTGGTAGCATTGGTTGCACTCATTTGCAGAGCTGTCGGCATGTCGTGGATCTGATGGTCACTTACAGTGAGATTTGAGTTGACGTTACTTTTCTTGTCTTCAGGAATGGTCACAATAGACATCGAGTCTGATATGGAGTGCACTATTGGATCAAATATCTCGAAAGAGTGGTCAAAGTCTTCGCTATGATTTACAGCCATTTGACACCAATTATGAAAAACTTTATCTCAAGATATTTATCACTTTAATATATTTATATAAACTAATAGCAGATAATCGTATGATTGGGAGTCACTTATGGGATCAGTTGCGAGACAATGAGTGACACATAAAACAAGTGATTCATTGACTCATTAAATGGCAAATGTTGTCAAACTTCAAGTGATTCACACTTTTATCACTTTTTCTCAATGACTTCAACGCAAACAAAATGTTTTGAAATTAAATAACTTTTATATCAATAAAAACGTCAAAACTTTGTGTTTCTCACAATTGGTTTTGTATTGACTTTTCATACGATTAAAGGGAAAGGGATTTAAAACGTGTGCTTCAAATGTATGGTCTTTATGGTAGCCATACATTGCAATGAGTGACGCAATTGAGGACTCACTCAATGCAACACAACTTTGAAACTAGTTTTGTGTCCCAAAGACATGATTCAAGACTTGATTTCCTCATTAATTCATTCAGTTTCA